AGGCGGAGGCGGAAGGATCGCCAGAGCCCAGCAGGTCGAGGCTGCGGTGGCCGGGAGCATGCTACAGACAGATGGCCACAGCCAGATGGCACAGCCAAATGACAGAGCAGGGAACCCTGTGAGCTGAGTCGTGGCCTAGCTCTGGGCTTTAAAGGCCAGGCCAGTATGTACATTTTTTTTCTTTTGAGCCGGAGTCTCACTCTGTCACCCAGGCTAGAGTGCAGTGGCATGTTCAGGACCACCACAGCCTCAACCTGCTGGGTTCAGGCTATCCTTCTGCCTCAGCCTTGTAAATAGCTGGAACCACAGGCATGGCACCACACCCAGCTAATTTTTTTATTTATTGTAAGGGTGAGATCTTGCCAAGTTGCCCAAGCTGGTCTTGAACCCTTGGGTTCAGGCATTCCTCTCATCTCAGCCTCCCAAAGTACTGGGATTGTAGGCGTGAGCCTGGCCAGTATGTACGTTTTGAAGAAAAAGCCATTGGAGGATCTTTAAACAGGAGAAGGATGTATACTATTTTACATTTTAAAAGATTACTTTTGGCTTCTCCTTCTAGCAGTATGAACTAGATACTCTAAAAAGCCTTTCTTTCTTTCTTTTTTTTATTGGAGTCTCACTCTGTTGCCCAGGTTGAAGTGCCTTCCAAGTAGCTGGGCCTACAGGTGGGGCCACTAAAAATTAGCCGGGCGTGTTGGCACACGCCTGTGGTCAATTTTTCTTGACTTATTGTTGAGACACAGTCTCGCCAAGTTGCCCGGGCTGTTCTCGAACCCTCAAGCAATTCTCTCACCTTCTCCTCCAAAAGTGCTGGGATTACAGGTATGAGCCTCAGCATCAGCTAAAAAGCCTTTTTTTTTTCTGGATTGGAAAATATAGTTTATTTAGAAAGTAAATTAGAGAAAGAAAGAAGAGATTCCCCTCCCCAAGGTAGGGAATGGGGCCAAAGCTAGGAAACATGGTGACCATAGCTCAAAAAACCACATGGACACACCAGGGTTTAACCTAAAAATCCTTTCTTATGCCATACTATTAGATCTTGGCTACATTACAATGAGCTTATTTTTGATACCAGCTTAGCTTGCATGAAAGTGAGAGAAACCCCAAAGGCATTTTTCAAAAGAACAAGAGTGAGCTGAAACCTGAGTGTGAAGTGTAAACAAATGCAAAATCTGGGGTTGCCTGAAGGTGAACCATGTATCAGAGCAGGAAATGGAAGATGAAGCCTTGGGTCATTGAAAGGGGGTAAGCTAAAAGTGAGATTCCCACCCTAAGCCAGGACACTTGAAGATGGCTACATCCTAAAGCAAGAGAGGCCTTGGAAGAATCCTAATGCCAGCAGAAGTCTGTGAAGGACTCTATCTCTATAGCTTCTTAGATGGAACAATCACAGTAATAATAATGGTAGCCCCCTGAAATTTATACTCATAGGCCTGCTCCCCTCAAGTCTGGAATTCAGTCTCATACTCATGGTCAAAGAAACCCCAAACAAAAAAACTAAAGAGCTTGCTAGGGTCCCTAGTAGCAGGCAGATCCAGGCACATCTATTCTGGAGGAAAGAACCTCTAATAAAGATCTTATCAGTTGCTCAACAAAGTATACACTCACTACCCTAAAGACACAAATAAAACATAAGAGATAATCAGTAGAAATAGCTAACAACAGACTTATTGCCCTATAGATTTCAGATAACGAAATTACCAGATACAGAATATAAGATGATCATGCTTTATATGTTAAGGAAATAAAGATCGTACCTAAAAAAATGACTAAGATACAGAATGCATTTGACATAATCAGGTGAATTAGGACAAAACCAA